AATCATCATGTTATCTGTTTACCATGCAACTGCATGTTTTTAGATTTCAAAAAGTAAGCAATTGCTAAGAGCACAGAGAATATATATATTTTTTCCCCCTAGAAAACAATGTGTCAGGTATTGTGAAGACCTTTTCAGTCATATTTTTCCCTAGCCTGGTGGTTAAAATTTTGTATTACATGCACTTTACTAGTATCTTAAAGCTACTGAATACAAACAAATAATAAAAAAGCACATTATTTCTATATTTAGCGAATAGAAAATATTTTGGTTTTCCTAGTTTGCATAAAAAATTAATGCTGTTCAGTTTAAAGTGATGGAGTGTTTTTTTTTTTAACACAGTGGATGTAAACTTCTGGTTTCAGCCATATCATTTTTAGGGGTGGGCATTTATCCTATAATTTATAGTGATACATTTCTTATCATACAAAGATTTTGATTTGACGTCATCCTGACTAATTCAAGTAATGTTAAAAAAATCAAAAAACTGCCTGTATTGTAGAGATTATCTTTACAATTTTTCACCACTGTTTAACAAGTTTGATAATATAATTAAATGCACACATTGAAGGGATTTATATCCCAGAATATCCTAAAGAAGCTTATTACAAATTTTTCAAGAGGAGCATGTGTGCATGTTGGGCTGTTGTTTCTGTTACGCAGTCACCTAAAAAATGAAATTAATAGTTCTTATTGTCACTTTTATCATTCTTACAATAGTGCCACAAAATATTGTGGTAAAACTTTAACTCCATGTTGCCCAATGGTTGTGGATGATTGGTTCTACCTTAGGCTCAGGCTGAGGCTCAGGCTGACTTGTCGGCTCGGCCACCTTCTCTCCAGGAACACAGTCGCCTGCACACAGAGAAAATTGAAACCTTTTTCACATATGACTGAATCACTAATAGACAATGTGTACAGACTTTAAAACAGTCTCTGTTAGGACAAGTTCTGTATGACGCATAAAATATTGTTTTTTTGATTTAGCATATGTTTGCATGCAAATGCGTTTGTCTACCTTTGTCCTTTCCAATGTAAATGGCGTCGTCACCCATTCCTTGCTCTCTGGCCAGAGTTTTAAAGTCCTCCAGGATCGTTGGTCTCACAGACTTTGTCCGACCTACAGAGAACACATGACAAGTGTTTTTTATTTTATTTTATTATTATTTTTTTTTTAACCAAAATCACCACATGCACTGCTGTAGCCCAGACGCTGATTAAAATCAAGACAAATGAGTCATGCAAAGAGTATTTATGATTTCCCACCACTTCTGCTGAGTGTCCACTCAGTGTGGGTGGAGTTCACCGAACAGGCACAGAAAAGCTTCCCGTCAAAAGTTGTATGAACTCCTGTTTTTTAAGGATGTGTCCATAATTTCTGTCATCTGTTTTCCAAAGATGACTCAACAGGAGGTGAAAACTCACTGTAAAGCTTGAGTGAGATGCTCTTGTCTCCTGTTGATTTCTGCTTGCTCATAATCATAATGGCGTACTCGTTGTAGTTGGTGTGAACAACATAAGCATCCACATCTGCTCCCCACTCTGCAGAGACAGAGAAAATGTCCAAGAAGAGTTATTTCCACAGGTGATCATCAGAGGACAATCACCAAATTAACAGAGAGTAAAAGTGAGACAACATACTTGCAACATGGTAGAAAAATCGTCCTGGTGTGGAGGTCAACTCATAATCCCCAGTTCTCTCTAGACATGTTCCCCGTCTGCACAAAATACACTTTAATTCAAGTGATCAAATCAAATCAAATCCACTATTAATAATCAAATTCCAGTATAGTATCATTTGTAATGCTTGCTAATGTCCCAACACAGAAACATCTGAGTGAGCCCAATTGGTAAATTTTGCTTTAAATATTTTGTTTTATTAACTTGCGAGATTTTAAGACTAATCTGTGATTATCAAAATGTCTGTTTTTTTTTTAATCATTGCTTTTACCGTTTTTATTGCGACTTTATTCTTGAAAGTTAAGAGAGGATTGACATGATGGTTTGTCCAGGGAAAAAAAGTTTCCCTTTTTTTAATCACTAAATCAAAGGAGTTTGTATCTGTGTACAACTAAATAGCGTCAATGAGAAATTATTTTATTTCAAGAAGTGCTCATCAAATGCAGGGTCGGCCATTAATGAATATTTTTGCAATTTGTTCATATATTTAATCAATAGCTTCTTCCACAACATTTTTAGGACATTCATGATTTTGATTTGGCCCAAAATGAAATGAGTTTGACACCCCTGACTGAGCGGCTCATTTAAAATGTAAAGCGGTGGTAAATTCATACATTCTGCTGTCACTTCCATCATAACTTTAATTTGTGTTTCACCAGAAATTTCCAAGAATATTTCTGGAGAAACCAGAATATATTTTGGTATATATCGACATCCAAAAAGTTGGATGTAGAAATATTCGACTTGAGCCAAGATTGTTTCTTTTGTTTTTGTTTTTTTTTATACATCGATTGTACTTGACTGACCCAGTTTGAACTTTTGAAAGCCTTGGCAAACATTGATTTTGGCCTTGATCAACAAGCAGATAAAATTCTAATGTTTTGCAATGTCTGTTTTTCTGACTTCCTGTGACTTTAAATACAAATCAGTAGGTAATTCATAGAAAACATTGAAAAGTGAACAAATGATAAGCATTTGCTGATGGATAAAATAGGGGATATTTTAGGACTCTTCTGTCTTTTAAGTGTGAAATATGACAGTTTTTATAATCCAACCTGAGAGCAGTTCGGGTCATTTTGAGCTTTTCATCCGTACTGCCTTTCAGCAGGACCAGTTTGCCAATGGCCCGTTCTCCGCTGTAGCGCTGCATGTAGGGAGATGTACTTGCCTTTGCAATATCGTGCCATGTTCCCAAAAACTGTCATGAAGAGTTCACAGGATTGTCATTAAAAAAAAAAACAATAAAAAAAACATTGCATACAGAAAGTATAAAATCACATACTTAAGATATTTTTGAAAGATTTTTAAAATGCAACCAAACTATAAAACATTGTTTCAGCCATTCAGCCTCTTCCCATATGCATATTTTGTTCTTAAAAAAGTTATGACATTTTTTATTTTAATGCTTTCATATACATATATGAAATACTCCTTAAGTGTTATGAAGGACTTGCAAGGCAAGAAACACGAAAACAAGAAGTGAGCTCTACATGTACTGCCCTGCTTTTAGCTGCGGTATTAAACAATTTTATTTCTTGCAGTTATGCTCGATGATTCAAATAATCTTGCGAAACTTAAAACGTTCTCCTCTCACCTTGCTGAGATCAAAGTTCTCTTGTGTGCTGTAAAGAGGATCTGGGAGAACAGGGAGTCCTTGGAGGATCCCCAGCCATCCCAACAACAGCAAAGAAACCAAAGCCACAACTTTTTGCATCTTGTCCAAACTTCGTGTCCACTTTTGTCGAACCTTGTCCTGTAGGTGTGCAGCACAATGACACCCCTGCTCTACTGCTGAGAACGGGACTGGACAATGAACTGTAAAGGACTCGGGTTATAATCACTCCCACAGCCCAGCTTCCAAAAAAAAAAACGCAAACAAGTAAAGGAGCAAAGTTCTGTCACTCTGTTTATCTCTGCTGTAGTTTGATTTATCACAAGGGGCAGTGAACCACTCAAACATTGGACTTCAGAGATGCTGCAGTACCGACAGATCAGTAGATGCTATAATATGAGCAAAAAGGGACACAAGGAAATTATGTTCATTTAACTGATTGGGCATCCTATTAAATAAACAGGATCCAGAACTTTCATGCATTTTTAGACTTTGGTTTTGGGATGCAGAGAAACTTTATTTTATATATTTGACAGTACTATCACATCAAGAGCAACAAATCTGGAAACTTTCTTATGTAATAGTTCCCCAGTTTGGAAAAATGTTTGCAGATACCATTACGCCGGCTTTCATTGAATCATTTAGCGTAATTGCAAACAGACAAAAGTATGCGGATACATTTTTAAATTAATGACAATACTTCTTTTACAGATTTTTTTTTACTGGTTTTAAAGTGATCAGGAGTTTATTCATGAGTTGGCTTGTTGAGCTTTATTATATTGGGATTTCCACATTATGGCTTCATCTTCTAAGGCAAGAAAAGTTCATTTCCATTTGTCTCAGCACCTCCTGCTGATCAGTAAGTGACATACTGGTCACATCAGGTCAGTTGTAATCACTGCCATTTGAAATCTTTACTTTGCCAAAGCAAATTTATCACAACCCATAAACCGTTTTGCATTTTATTATCATGCAACACCAAACTGGTTTATTGGGATTTTTTTGCATGCTAATCAACACAAAGTAGAACAGAAGTGTGAAGGGGAATGAAGAGGATTAGGAGTTTTCACATTTGTTAAATTCCGAAAAGTGTGGCATGCATTTCCTTGTCCCTGCTGAAGAAAAACATATCTACAGCATCATGCTGCCACCATCTGTCATTGTGGAGTGAAGTGAAAGTTAATTTTCTGCAATAATATGAAGACCCTAAAGCTCAAGTTTGGCCACAAGTGACCAGAACTACTTCTTCCTCAATTCTGCTATGTTTAATACATGGTTGGTGTCAATTTGTAAACACTTCTTACCATTTCCTCTTATCAGTGGTTTTTTCTCACCACTCTTCCACCGAAGACAGGCTTTCAGAACGCATGATTATTGATAGATTCTGCAACCTGATCTTAAGATCTCTGCAGCTCCCATATAGTGTGTGCTCCATTGCATCTAGTCTGGAATATCGTTTTCCAACCAGCTTCTCTCTGTCTGCTGCGTTCCTTGGTCTTCATGATGCTATTTGTTCCTTAACATAAGATCTTCACTGAACAGACATTAAATTACACGATGGTGTCTCCCTGCTAACACTATCGATCTGTACATTTAAAGTACATTTAAAGCAGCACTACACCAGCTATACTCCAACATGCTCAGACTCAGAAGCTGAAGTTGAACAATGTGGCATTGAGTTATATTACAAATATAAAAAAGACAGATATCACACAAACAAATAGTTCTTTATTATTTTTCATCTTTAGTTCTGACAAGTTGAAATTTTGATGCATTACGATAATTTATGCACACTATAAATACTAGAAAAATGTAATATTAGTAATAATAACAAAATAAAATACAATATATATTTTTTAAATCATTGTGTAATTGTGTCATGTCACAGACAAGGACTGCAAAATAATTGAGCTGCTTCAGCACAGTGGTAATGTTGACCACTTTGGTTCTTTTTAAATTAAAATTGGGAGAAAATCTGAAGTAAACAAAAGTGAACATGTATATTAAAAGACGCAAAAACATAAAGTTGGAGAGACTGTGAGCTGCATCAGAAATCCAATCTAAGACAAGGCTTGTACTGTGTGGGTTGACCGCTTGTTGTTTGAATGAAAGTTTCAGAACCAGAGTACAAAAATGTGCACCTCCAAATACATTTTCTAACAATGAGTTATTTGTTACCTGGTCAGACATCACTTTGCTTTTTCTCTGCAGTAATATTCTGTTTGGAGATCTGAGGAACAAAAGGCTGAACACAACACACATTACCCATTATTTATGATTATTCTTATGTCAAATAGAGAGTCATGAGCTGGTTCCATTACGCCGGCAGATACCATTACGCCAAGGTCAGACCATGCGTTTCCTCCATCATTTGTTTACCTGGAAAACAGTCACCTGGAAAGACAGAAAAAAAAAACAAAATCTCTTTAAATGAAAACATTAATATTTTTCTATGAGAAAAACAAATGCAGAAAGAAAATAATGTACACAGAATATTTCTTTTTGAAAGTGCTTCAACAAATCTGAGACAATACTGAAAATGTCTTAAAATTGCCAAAATATAAAAACATGGCTTAATAATTAATAAATTATGCTAACATGACTAGAAAAAAAAATAGTAGTAGTAATAATAATAACAACAAACAATTTCATACCAAAAAAGTGTTTAAAAATAACCAAGTACCTTTGTGTTGATTCATGATGGCAGCATCTTCACTCATTTCATGATGTCTAATGAGAGCTTTAAATTGATCAAGAACAGGAGGACTAACACTCATAGTTCGACCTGAGAAAGAGACATTTATCATTATATTACTCTTACAGAGCAGATTATTTGAATGACAAATTCTCATGTTGCATTTTGTTTCTTTTTTAAGCCCAAAATGGCTGCGGTTTAGCTGTCTCTCCTACTGATGAATCAGATGAGAGAAAAATGTTTGGATTTAGTTCCTTTCTGGCTAATTTTTTAAAAATAAAATTGGGATGAAAAGGTAGGTATCACACTGAATACACCACAAACCAAACACATTCAAAGTCGTGACACTGATTTTACTTCAAGTTAAAAGAAACATGTCGATATAACAAAAAGTTTGTTGTGATTTGGTTATTGAGTTAACGGTTTCTTTCTCCTGGTTACTCAGTCAGAGTCGAATTAGAAACCTCTGTTGACTTACCATAAAGCTTAACTACGGTGGTTTTATTTCCCGATGGTTGCTCTGTGCTCAGCTGCAGCATCAGAGCGTACTCATCATAGTTTGTGTGAATCACAAAGGAATCAACATTGGCTCCAAATCCTGCAGAGAGGAATTTTCATGTCAACAGCAAAACCTTGAGGTCTTTACCAGATTCTAAAATTGTTTAAATCATAAACAGACAAAAGCACAAAACAGATTCTAAAGTGTTCTTATTTATTAAACAAATGAGATTTAAAAAAAAAAAAGCCGTGTGTGAAAACTTAATGCTCACTGTTTACAGTGTATTTATAAGGGAAAGTGGGTGTAACTACTCTGTTAAACAGAGTTTTGGAGGTTTGCTGTTTTGGAGCATGAGTTGTGTGTTAACACAGTGACAGCAAAGGTAGCCCATTACTCTAACACAGCTGTCCATCTTCTCAGGAGAGGAAACCCCTGCAAGTTTACCCCAAGGTCAGACCATGCGTTGCTCAAAGAAAATGCAAAAATCCCAATCTGGGCCCTGTTGCATGCTCTACAGACCCCAGTTCTCAAGTTGTTTTCTAAACTGAACAGAGCAATTCAAACTAGGTTTGCAAAGCTGGATCTGAATGAACCATAAGACTTCTAGACCAATGTCCACAGGCAGGTAATACCAAAAGAAAGATTTGGCCATAAAGACCAATGTCATGCTCTCATTGCAGATTTGTCAGAAAAACTGCAAAACACAATGATAGTGACCAGATAAATCAGGTCTGTTTTGCAGAGACAGGACCAAAAACATCTTGCAGCTGTCAAGTTGATCGAGATTTAATCAATATGCCAAAATGTTCCAGAGTCAAATGCGGCGAAACTGAGTCACGAACAACACAAAGACCAGAGACACGGCAGCAAATCTGTAGCAAAAGCCTGACAAAGGAAACAATGAAGATGTTTGAAATGTACCAGTCAAAGTTCAGACCCAAGTCTGACTGAAATGCTACATACAGACTTCAAACAATAACAAATTGAAGCAAACCTAGGAAATAGGAGACTGAGTCAAAATTCTTCCATAGCAATGTAACTTATAAAGCTTCACAAAACTAACTACAGAGAGTTACTGCTGCTGAATGCTGTCGTATGCTATGTAAAAACATCTTTATATCACAGATAGGATGTAGAAAAAGGTAGAAACATACTTGCAACGTGGTGAAAGAATCGTCCTGGAGTGCTGGTCAAGCTATAAACTGTCAAAGTCTCCGTACACGTGCCATTTCTGAAAGAAGAAACATGTTGTAGATCACAGAAAAACGTACATCCTCTGCAGTTTACAACACACGAGAAACTGACTTGAAGGTGGAGGAAGTCATTGTAAAGTTACGCTGAGCAGGAACATGTGTCAGGTCCAGCGCCACAATAACAGGGTTTGTCTTCTTGCGCTGCATGTAGTGAGGACAAGTGGACAGCACAGCCATTTCATACCACCGTCCTGCAAACTGATGAGAAAACACACAGTCAGTCTACATCCAGCCATCTGCAGGTGAACTGATGAGATCAACATAAACATTTTCACAGAGGAGCTTCTAAATGTTTTAGTTGGTGAGAAAAAAAATTAAGTTTTGTATAATCTGATGGCTAAAATGGGCGGAAAGACGAACTGTTGTCTTCAACACGCACCTGCTCAAAATCAAAGTTCTCCATTGGTGTTGCTGGATTATTTTCCACCACAGGGTCCATCTGGTGGGTCCATATCGATCCAACAACCAGTAGAGGCACCAGAAACACAACTCTTTGCATCCTGAAAATCTGTTCCTGAAGTGAGAACTGGCCTTTTCAAAGCTAACCATCATGCTATGCTTTTTGGATTCCCACCCCTTTGCTTGCAAAGATTGAGAGCGAAGGTCCGAGCATCACTTTATCTCCTTCTCAGGTTCTGTATAATCAAGTGTTTGTTGTTCAAAATAATCAGAAATAAATCCCTGGACTTCAGAGTTTGAAACTACCTGTAAACATGCAACCAATCAATATCTGTTAGCTTTTAACTGCTGGTTAGTGGGGAAAAGGCTGGTCTGCTCCGAGAGGGCCTCTAAAGGACACTTACAGGTTGTGTGTTGGGTAGCAAAGCTTGAGCAGATTTGAATCAAATTTGTTCATCCTCACAGAGTTTGTACAAAAGTCTTCTGTGATACAGCAGTGACAAAATAAAAGAGGAATAATAAATCTGCTTCCGGTTTGTAACCCAAATGATCCACACACAAAATAATCTATTGGTGGATGGACAAGCTTAGTGAATTATGTTGCATTATACTTACAAGGAACAAATTATTTATTTGACCTCCCAAAATTGTTACTGTTTTGACTGATAGTACAGCAACAGATTGATTTTTTTTAGGTTTTGCCATTCATTGTTGTTACAAAGGTGCGCCTGCATTTCTCCTCCCTCTCTTCAGGTCGAGTTTCTCGGTTTTTGTGTTCTCTTCCTTTTACATTTGTATTTGTTTCTCTTAGATTATTGTCACACTTTTCCCCTTTTGGTTTATTTATTTATTAATTGAGATCCTATTATCTGTTGCCAGAACAATAGCTATTCTTCCTGGCGTCCCCATCGTGTTTGAGTCCTGTTCAGCCTTTGTCATTTTCTTCATTTTTTAAGTTTCTGGTTTTTCGATTCTTCCATTCCTCACCCTTCACTCTGTCCATGCTCCAGGTCCTGTTAACCTTTATGACCTGCAAATTTTCTTTGTTATTATTACGATACAGTAATTAAACCTCGACATGCACTTCTCAAGTGGCTGGAATTTTGGTCCTGCTTCAACATCACGTTACAAGACAACATATCTGGGTGTCTGGAATTAGAAATTAAGTACTTACTGTCATTCAATTTATTTATTTATTTAAGCCACAAATGCAAATTATCCTTCATAAGTAAGTACACATAAAAAAAAAATACATCTTTTATTCCCCTCGCCCCCTTAAATGTCAACTTTGGATTTGTTCAAAACTACTTCAGTTGATTTAAGGATTTTAACCCTTTAAATTACTTTGGTGTTTATTATTTTCCACTGAATAAATATGTAGGTGATGGGAGATGTGTTGGTAATTAAGATCTTGATTATGTTAGAGATGAGCTACAAAATGGACTTGATTATTCTAGTATATTTATGAAATGCAAGATGCTTCAACGACACCTTTGTGGATAAAAATGCTCCTTAGACTTCCCGTTTTTGACATATTACTGCAGCAGGACTGTAAAAACATGCATTACATAATGTTGACTTTCATTTTGAAGTAGTTTCATTTGACAATTTGACTGTATTGCATCAGAGTCAAATGTTTTCTAATTCCAGTACATTCCATGAAAATCTTGTATTCCGTCCCACCTTACAACTTTTTTTTATTTATTTATAGAATATACTTAGATTTTTATATTTCTTAAACAATTAATCTTTCAAATAATTCAGATAATATGTAGGGGGTTGGTTTCATAGCACTGCAACACAAAGGGCTAAAGAAACCCAGATAAAAAACAAACTAAAACATAAAAAAGCAGATCAAAGCTTAAAAACATTAGACAGAATGACATAAAAAAAACCTGTAAAAATAATAAAATTCCAGTAAACATAGAAAAATTGTAAAGCAAAATCAGCCCTGTGTAGGTAAGCTGCAGTAAACAATGTTTTCACTCCTGGTGTAAAGTTTCTGCACATCTCAGATTTTCAGGCAGTTGCTCCTGGAGTTGAATAGCATAAAAAGTAGAAACTGATGGATTCAAATCCTAAAACCGTTTGAAGGTTTTTTAACAAATTTCAAGTAATTTCAAACATTTATTGAAAAAAAGGGTTTTGGGGGGAATCCAAGAAGATGTTATTGTTTTTTATTTAAACTGGACAACAAAAATGAAAGAAACTGAGAACACAGACTTATATGTATTGATTGCATCTCTATTGTTGATATTAAGCAAAACATTGGCATAAATTCTTTCAGCTTCCTCTGAGCTAAAACCTAGAAGAGAAACAAAAATGAATTTAGCACAGAAATGCGAAATATTTTCTCTGTTTTAGGAAACAAACAAAGATCTCACCTATTATCCAGATCCTGATGCTGGACAGTTCTCTATAGATGAGACAATACAGAAAAAAAAAAAAAAAAAAATTACTTAAGAATACATGCTTATATTATTATATGTAAACTGCAGATATTTAGAGGATTTTTTTATCAATAATTACCTGCTGGAGGAGGGGTCAGAATAGATGCTCTGGGGAAACCACGGGACAATGCAAAGGCCTTAAACTTCTGCAGGATTTGTACTTTGGTTCTCGGTGAGCGACCTGTTCAAGCAGATGTAGGTGAGCTACATTTACTCAGCACAGGAGCTGAACAAATTTAATTGTCTCTTTGGGTCTCACCGTAAAGCGCCACCTGTGTGTATTCTCTGTCAAAATTCTTGTATTTGAGAACCACAGCATACTCAGTGTAGTTTGTGTCCACAACAGTGACGTCCTTCATCATGTTATGGCCTGAACAGAAAAACGACAATGAATTTCTTAAAAATGTCTTGAAAATTAAACCAAAAATTCCTTGTTAATTGTTTTGTATGTGGCGGTATGACTTATTAAATGTGAAAATATCATATGAATGTTTGCACTATCATAAATATGGTAGAAAAGATTAAAAAAACAAATGAAATGCAGGAAGAATGTAGACAAATTAAGTTATGTATTTGTAAATATTCAGACTTTATTTTTTAAATTGTGTTTCTATTTGAATTTTGAAATTATACCACATTACACCGATTCATTCTTTTTTTTAACTTTGTAGATTTTTATTGCGTGTTTGCTCATGTTCGTTAATCTGAGTCTTAGTCTAAAATGTTTCTCAGTCATATTGTTATGTTTCTTTGAATGACCTCCTGTAGTGTTCGAAAACACACACCGGTCACTGGACTTTAGGAATTTGTTTGTCTAAACTTTGAACATATTTCAGTCTTTCCACACACGACTCTGAATTGTTTACTCAATAAGCTCATAGATTTACATCACGTATGACATTAAAGATTTTTTTTGACTCATGCACCAGTTAGTGAAAGCAAATCTCTTGCTGATGTAACTATTAACTTCTTGGCCAGAAAATATGATTTGGATTGTTGTGATTCCATCAGTCCCTCAATTTATTTGTCTCAGGATAAAATCAGAAGACACTTACGGGTGCTGAAGTAGATGAACTGTCCAGGCACGCTTGTCTTGTTATACTGGTAAGATTTAGGAATGCAGGCCACAGATCTGAAGCACAGAAAAAAAAAAAAACAATGAGATGTTTGAGCTGAATCTCAAGCAAGTTGTGAGTCACGCTATAAGTAAAATGGCGTGAGTTGAACTGAATTGTTTATCCACTTAACCAGTGATATACGTTTTCTATCAGTTCTTATAATAATCTGTAATTGCTTGCAGTGGCTAATTTTATCTGCCCTTTATTATTGGACATATTTGGACTCACAGAGCTTCCCACATTGTGAGGTTGACGTTGCCACTGGGCATTATTGTGATGATGCCCATGGAGATCTTCACTTTGTCTCTTAAAGGGATAAAGCCTGGAGAGTCATAGGCGAGCCCCACTCGGTACCATTTACCTGCAAACTTAATGCAGATGAAAACGTGAAAATTTTCTGTGCATGCAAAACCAAACAAAAACAAGATCTGGGAGAGACAAAAAAGCAAACTATATTAATCTATTTGATCTGGAAAACTGGTTTGAATTAGTGGTTTTCCACTGGAATAATACATCTTTTGCATATGTAAGTTAAATTCACAAAATGTTTGCTTCAAAGTTTGTATGAAAACAAAATCTAGAGGTGTTAGAATAAACGTATGATTTAATATAAAATATTTGCAACTTTCTTGCATTGTGAAATCTCAGTTCAGAAATTTCACCTAAAATCTTAGGTTATATTAGGTGACTGTGAAAATCTTGGTCTTAAAGTGATGTGTAGGTCATTCTGTCCAAATATAATGCCAAGATGGCTGCCCTTTTATCTGTTGAGAGCTTTTCAAGAGATACATACAAAATCTGAAAACCTTAATAAAACATTTCAGTCCATTTTAATACCTTTTCATTAATACTTTTTGTCTTTACCAATTAGTTTTAACCATTCACTCTGTCGTTTGGTTCTATTTCACTTTTCGCTTGGACATTGCTGGTGTAGAACAAATCAATCTTACTTTATTTAAAATCCACTTCTTGTGTTTCCACAATTTTAACAATTTAAATATTGGAATATAAAACGGTTTCACTGTGAAACGTCCATGAAACATTTTGCAACTTGAAATGATCAAATGAAGTCCAGAGTTTATAAAAAGACTAAACATTCAGTTTGGAACTAAACATACTAAACTGATGTATTCCACTGCATGGAGGCCTTTACTGCAAATCACAATAGGCAAATAAAAATTAAAGATAATATTTTTCTCAGGACTTACGCCACCCGTTTATTTAATGGCACAAAGTAGCTCTCTGTCCTCAGGGGAGTGGAGAGTGTTTAGTGGGTAGACACTTAGAGCACTGTTAAGTATTTAAGGAAGGATGGCGGCATAGGTTGACTAAAAATAATGTAGATGAGCAATGTTTATCATCTTGAAGAGACGCGTTCTCAGTGTAACAAGGTGTCTCTGAGCAGAGCTCGTCATACACGTCATCTTTTCATCGCTGTGTTTTCTGAACAGATGGACAGAATCCCCACATTCGTTAACATAGACATCATTTTAATTGTTTTAATTGTAACTTAATCTTGTGGGAAACTTATTAAAGACATATGCAGATCTGAAATAAACTAATGAAGGCAAAAATACTGTCACTTTAAAAACAATTTCACTTTCTGCTACGTGGAATATCATCCTGCATCGCTCCACACCTGTTGTGTCGCACCTTAACCCTGTTATTATCATTAATAACAGCAGTTTGTTTGTGTCACCCATCAGTAGCTGTTCTTAAATCTGACAACACTCACATACTACAGTAGATAACACAACCTCCTAAAGTACGAGTCAGATCTGAGTTTTACCTTTTCCAAGTTGAAATCCTTTTGTGGCTTCACTGAGTGCGCCATCGTCACACACATCAACACCATGGTGACAGAGAGCATGGTCGTCTTCATGGCTGCGGTTGGACACAAAGCTGCAAGATGAAAAGTTTGGGACAATTTATCAGGTCGAAGCCTACAGCAGAAGTCAACAGGCAGACAGAGACTGGCAAAGGCTGGGTTGATATTTGCTTTGACTCCTGATCCGCCCACCTGGTCGTCAGCCAATGGAGGCAAAGGATCAGAGGACAGAAACAAGACTGTTGAAAATGTGTGGCTTCCTAACAACCCCGACTTCTCAGAAACACACAGAGTCATGAATGTGGTTTGTTTATGTCAGCTGAGATTCAGGTGCTGTCCAGGACGGACGGCGTTTCGCAACATTTACAGATGATGTTCCAGGAGGAACAAACCACAAGCATCTGCGCCTGAAACATTGCTGACTTAGTTCTACTTTTAGGCTGACTGACAAATAGTTCAGACAAAACACATGACCTGTGTGTCTCCATGGAAGGAGAATGCTCCTCTCTTTAGTAGTGAATTTATTAGAAAGAGGATTTTTTTATTATTATTATTATTTTAGGTAAATATGACATCTAGTGTAGAAGGGGAGAAATTGGTATTAAATCTCTAAAAAACAGAGAAAGAGGAAGCAAACTGAAATCTCTGACATGAAGTGAAAGGTCACGATCATAACAAAGGGACAAAAATATTATATCTTACAAAGAACTGAAAATAATATTTAAGATTGGGTTAATTAGGTCTAATTGGTTCCATTAGCTTTGTGAAAACAAAGGAAAATATGTCTTTGAATTGGACCTCAAATACATATGTATATATGTATATATATGATTTCCATATATGTTTTTGTGCTGTTTGAAAACAAATGGTTTGTTGTTCCTGTTTAGAACAAACCACAAGTTCAGTATGGTTTTAAAGGTTTACACAAACCCACCAGTCATGACGTGAATGTTGTAATCATTTGGTGTCACATCACAAGGCACGATTCTGAATGACTGATCGTTTTGCTCTTCTCGGCCAAATTGGTTGTTTTCCTGTCTGATTTATTTATTTTTTTAATGGCAGATAAATTACCACGTTAGCCAGTCCCACCAGAGAACACTTGGAAAAAGTCAGAGGGTTATTTGCTTTGAAAGCCTCATTTTAATTCAGCACAGCTGACAGTCTGAAGTTATATTAATGCATTTAAAAAAATAATACTTTAACTGCTGGTTGTGGAAATGTTCGTCAGAAAGGTCATTGAGGCCACAGTTAATTAATGACTAAATAAAAACCAAACAGAACCAGAGTCAAAGTGAACAATGTAAATAGTTTTATTAATAATTATTTTCCCATTTGCAGCACTGTGTCTATCTCCCTTTCCTTTAATACAGTATGTGCACAACTAGCCTTGTGTGGGAAGGAGAGAAACTGTCTGTGTGTGTTTTACACACCTCTTAGACCTTGTCTACACACTCTGCACAGGCTGAGAACTGCTGCAGTGGCAACAACACCGTAAAATAAAAGCAACAGAAACACTGAGAGGCAGATTTACTAACACCTTAATGAACGGGGGAAAAAATGTGCAAAAAAGCAGGGTGAGACACAGAGAACACAGATGCATCATAAAAACATGTTTCATCAGCAAAGTTTAATTCAACTTTATGGCATTCAACTTAATAGTGAATCCACAGAGACTCTAGTAATCTTGATCAATTAGTTTATATTGGAAATTATTTCTTTTGAGGCTTTCTAACATTTTATAACTTACAAAGTTAGGGTTTAATTGACTGAAGTTCCTAACTGAGAGTTTAGAGTTACATCTTTTTGCGGTGTATAAAACATTAAACTACTGGGAAAATAAAATGTAATCTTAGAAGTTTGAATGTAGTTGTCAAGCCCAAAACTCTTTTAGGAAAATTTGAACAATGAAGTTTATTTTGTAAGATTCATTTTTACAAATTAAATTTAAATTAATTGTGGTGTTAAGAAAACACCACATCTCTAATTTCCATCTGTATTTTTCCAACATGGAGATGACAAATCAAACAGACTGTGAGTAATTATTTTCTTATCATTCCTTGAGCATCTCAGAGGTGGGTTAAAATTTAAACCGCTCAGTCGATTGTCATCCAAGCATAAACCCCTTTTTAGACCACAATCACAGAGTCAAGATTTCACACCAAAATAGACAAAGAATAATTGACAGGCTTCCAAAAATAAAATAATTTAAGCTAATTTTAAAATATATAAAAAAAGAAAACGACATCTTCTTCAGAGTGCAGTGTTCTGGGGCTGTTTAATCACTCGCCCCCTGGTGGTATGAATTGACAACTGCAACCACCACCAATCAGAAGCATCATAATAGCCAAACAGACACACAAATTATAATTCACCTCACAACATTTGTTCATTTTTTCCCCTCAAACACATTCATGTGAACATTTTACACTCATCATTAAAGAAATTCAGTAGCGAGAGAGACAACGGAGGCTAGAACGGAGCTGGACCTCGTGAACGCCTCTGTTGGACTTTTCTCCCCCAAACGACAAAGAAACAATGGGTGAAAAAAAATGACAGAAGATTTCCTATGCCAGCAAATGCAAAGTATGAACCAAGAAAACATGCTTCAATGCATGCAGCATCAACATCCTGAAAACAATAATATCTTGCTTTGGTGTACTGCATGTGACTGCAGGATGCAATGTAAGGTCAAGGGTTACAGAGCAACAGCAGAGAACTCAAATGAGCAAAAGGTGAATCTTAATGTCGCCAGAAATCATGAACAAGCCAATCATATCTGGGACGATTTTTAATCAACGTCTGAAACAACACGAGTTCAACTGGGACAGAGTAGACAAAAAAAACCAGGAAACAAGGCATGGCTATTAGAAGGTCGGATGGTAAACGAACACGGCAAACCCACACTAAGTTCAAGGTAGGAATAAAATCTTAAAGGAGTGTATTAGGAAATAAATTCTTCCTACTCCTACCCACTTGGTTTTTGCAGATCTTAAGAAAATCTTATGATCCTATGTAGTCAAGTTGTTATGATGGAGAACAAACCGAAGCTGAAATAAGTAAGAAATGCTGAAACGTCAGATTAAGATGAGGGCCAGGGCCTGTGTGTCTGGGAGGTGAACTCACAGTAAGGCAGTGCTCTGCGCATGATCTATGATGCTCATTCATCAACACTAACGAGAAAGAACAGTTCTGGTCAGAAGTTTACGTACAATCATCATTGGATCAAATTACATTATTTTTTCAATGCATTTTTATTTGAACTGTTCCGTTCAATAATTTTTAGAAACAAGAATTAGATTCAAATGTCACCAGTTCAAAATTTCACAGATTCAAATATATGCCTATCGCTGCCATCAACAAACATCTGGCAGTTTGAATACTGAATGGAGTCCAACTTTTAAACAGCTATAATGATCATCTGAGAGCCAAATCTTCATTTTCTTTTTCCAAGCATGATTCTGCCACCACCATGCCATCCTCTACTCCAAACCTCAACCTTCTAGAAAATGTATAAACAAAGCTGAAAAACTGGGTTCATTCCAGTTGCCAAACTATTTAAATAAAATTTGGTTAAATATTCAGTCTGAATAATGCCAGAATCTTGTTGATTGTTACAGGAAGTGTGTGATTAAGCTGAAAATTGCAAAGGGATACGTAACTAAATATTAATGGAGTTACATGAGTATGTATAGCTATACCTCTGACTTTGTGCTGATTAGACAATTTGTCATAAAGTCAACTATTTGCACACCCAATGCTTGTTCATTCAAGTTTTATGTTGCATAACCAATCCAAACTGGAAAATGAGTAGCTTACATAAATAATAAAAAGCCCAAAATTAAACATAGTGAACATAAGTAAACTTCTGACTTCTCTTCTACGATTTCACTTCCTGTTCAATTATTCCCTGTTCGGTTTTGAATTGTTTTTGGTCAGTCAGCTCTCCTGGACGTTGCAGAATCTCCCTCTTAAGCACTCATCAGGAAATCCTTCTGTCAAGTCCATTTTCATATGCTTCAGGTGCACACAAACAAAACAAACCAACGTACACACACACACCCATCCCAAGATGAGCAAAGTCTACCTATTCAGACAAAACCTGCACAATTTGGCCACATAACCATGAGAGTTCAACATGCAAACCAGAAAAAAAGCGATATTTAGCCCTGGGTTGACTTTATGCTGTTGCTTTACTTTGTGTTCCAGCAGCCAATATAAAATGGGTTCAACAGCTTTGCTTTGATGAACTCCACATGCTGATGTAGGATGGATTTGGAAGTACATACAGCATAAAAAAAGGACAAAATACAAGTTCTATAATCTAAAATATGTAAACATCAACTTAAAATATTTGGTATGTTGCTGACAAATTTTAATAAATAAATAAAAACAAAGTTCTGATGGCTTGCAGCTGATTATTGCACTGCAGATGCTGGACATTATTGCACGTTAAAGCTGCAACCACTGGTCTTATTGAACGTGTGTCGTTTCCAGCTGCTCGTAAATTGTTCCCTTTTAGTAGAAATGCACGGATGCTTTGGAGAGCAACAAGATCGGAATGACCAATGTTTCAGGTAACCTGAACTTCAGATGGTTTGGGAGATTATGGTTCGTCATTTTCTGGCCAGTTGTGCAGGTTAAGTCAAAAGCAGAGGTGCCATCTTTCACAAGATAATCTCACTATAACATAACATGATAACATGAACAGAGATAACTTAGGTGCACAAAGGTCCCTTCGTTGTTCCGCACACTTTATATGCAGGACTGGTTTCACAGTTCTCTTCAGTACCCTTTTATGTTTGTGTTAAATCTGTAGTTGAAAGTTGTTGCATTCTGGATTCCAGGCAGCCTGTGTGCCTCATTTCTTGCTGGGAAAGCATGTTGGTAAGGGGTCTTCAAGGTCGGTGTTTGAAGTTCCAGAAAGAACCTGGTTTCTGTGGTTGGTGCCTCTCTCTTTGTCTGCTGAGGTAGCGAGAGGGGTTGCCGGGGAGATTTCAGCCGGGATGGATGGAGCAGAGCATATCCTTTCGAGTGTGCTGTCCATATATCTCTTTTTTTTTTTTGTTTTGTTTTGCTTTTTTTAGAACTTTAATGAGCAAAGTAGGTTTGAGCGTATGTGTGTGTGCATTGGCCTTCGGAAGCGTATGGCTCTTACATTAGCATCAATGTATATCTTCCGCTAACCTGGGCAGGCAATGTTGTCCTTTTTTCTTTATTGAAACAGGTCTGCATGTCAGTGTCAAGTTGATGTAGTGGTCTGTCAGGCCGTCACAATTTGTGCTTCCCCGACACTATGGAACGGTAAAGCTCTTCGTCCAGCTGTATATAGCGCCCTCTGCTGGAATCCAGGAAGAACAGTTTGTCTGACACAGCAGTGGGATTAAAACCATCATGACGCAACTCTGTCTTCTGGAATTTAAATGTTCCTGGAAAACAGAGACAGAGGAAAAGTGTGTGGTTGTTCAAATATAAATTTAGCTATTTTTTGTTCAAATCAGTCTGGGCTGTTTTTTTAAATTATTATTTTTGTTTTCTTTCATAGTTTATGCACGTTATTCAAGCCCAAATTCAAGACTAAAATGTTCAGAATTTTGTGGAGTTTTGTTAGATATTTCTATCAATGTTTGAAATGAAACAAAAAACCTGCCGAAACCAAAGTAGTTCAGAATTACAGGAGCGATGAACGAAAGGAGGACTGAGCAGGTTTAGATAACACACAGATGAAGATACCGATGACTCTACTGCCCAAAATGTACGCTTCACCTACACAGAACATGGATCCTTTAGAAAATAAAATGAGCAAATAAATACCTGTCTTGTTAACTTCTGGAAGAAAGCGAAGAAACACAGGTCTGGCATACGGAGGGAGAACTTTCTCCATGTCCTTAAACAACTTCTCCAGGTCGGTGGATTGGGACGGATCAGCGACGGCTGCCATTCCAGCTTTTCCTTCTGCTCCTGTGCACACAGAATCAGACAGACAAACAAAATGATTAGCTACTGACAACTGTAGAGATTTAGCTTCAGAAGCAACCAAAACCCTTGCTTCAAACAGTACCAAACTAATCATCTCTTGGTCATACCTTAGTGGAGAATATACCTCCATTTTTACATCCATCTGGACATTTTCTGTACCTGCATCGTCTATGTTGAAGCTGGACAGCTGGAGGCAACACTATTAACCCATTAAAACAATAGAGGAAAGAACCAGCCATGCTCAGCCTCCTTCTGCAAATCTGCTCATCCAATACTCATCTGAGCACAATCTTGATGTAAGGCAATGCAGAAAAATGTAATAGTTCATTTGCTAACCTTCCTGTTTAATACTACTGATATCCTGTTCAAATAACTTATCCGTTTTGCAAAGAATGGATGAACATTTCACTTCCAGATTTGAAAAGCTGGTGGTGACACGACTCGAAAGTCTTTTATTAGTAGTAACAAGCGGATCTAAAAAGCATTCAGAGTGGCAAGCTGAAAAAATGTGCAAACTACACTTTTCAAATGTTATTTGTAGAAATATTTAAACCCTCTTCCCCCAAAAAATAAAATAATAATACAAAAAAATCATCATTTGTTTATATTCTTCTACTTAATTTGTTTAGACCGAGACCAAACAATCTCAATAAAATACATTCAGGTTTATGGGTCTTTGTACTGAAATCTCTAACATGCCTCTAAATTTAGACATGTTAGAGATTTTCTTAAGACCTTCCCATATAATGCCAATGGTATTTCTTGAACAGGAAACATATAGTATGAAGAAAAGCCAAGCGAAAAGGTTTACCTGGGATTTCTACTCCATAAACAACCACATCTTTCATCTCAAGCAGCCTGCTCAAGGTTCCTTCCACCTCGGTCGTTGAGACGTTCTCTCCTTTCCACCGGAAAGTGTCCCCTGTTCGGTCCTTGAAGTACATATGGCCGTACTTATCCATGATCAGAACATCACCTGTTTGGGGGATTTAATAACCGTTTATTCAAATAAGGTCCTTCAAACATTATAGTACATGTAACATGAGCTGGAGGAGGATTCTCACCAGAAAGATAGGCGCTATCGCCCTTCTTGAAGACACTATTTGCGATCTTCTTGCTCGTTGCCGTTTCGTTAACATAGCCATCAAACCTTCGAAGGGGATCGTTCTGAATGATCTTCCCAACCAGCTGGCCAGGCTCGCCTTGAACAAGAGAAGAACCAGATTACTTCATATTCGCTGGCATTTTTGATAAATATTTGTTCATGATCAGGGCTTTGATACATTACAGTTGGAAACTGTTCATGTGTGAAGAAAAAACAACTTCCAAAACATTGTAATGGATAGGGATGCAACTAACAATTATTGTGGAAATTGATTATGCTAACAATTAATCAGATAGAAAAAAAAAACACAGGCATATTCTGCAAATTTTTGATTTAACTCTTAATAAAATAGTAGAAATACTTACAAGTACAAAACAAATAATTCAAATCCTTTTAATCCTGCGGAGTGTGTTATTCTTTCAGCAAATGACCTTTTTTTGGAGTTCGTATAAATCAATCAATTTAATGATTGATTTCCATTTAAACAATGAAATCAATCATTAAATTAGTTGACAGTTATATTAACAAGCGACTCATCTCATTAATTATTTAAGATGCATTATTGGGTCAGTTCATATCTTCATTAATAATCCAGTTTTCATTACTAACTATTTTGTATGCGAATATACAAACAGTTGACATCTCTGTCTACATTTTCTTAAAACAACAACAAAAAGCAGCAATTTTTCATTTATGACTTGCAAAAGTAAAAACCCACCAGGTTTACAAGGAATGCAGACACCATCAGGTCCTCGTATGAGCTCCATGGTCTCTTCATCAACCCTCACCAGCCTGATGGGATAGACGAAGGGCAGAATCTGGCTGTTAAAGCCACATGCGCCAACCTAGACGGCAAACAAAGGTGTTATTCCTAATAATACTTCCAGACTGGCCAAGAAACATACACCATAAGTTGCAATGTTTAACGTATGATGGTTGACACTAAAAGGCTAATTTTCGGGAATTAAAAACGGCCAGGCTGGTTCATTTTTGCAGTGTATGTAGATCTGGGAGGAAGGAATGTGGCGGCAGTGGTAGCAACGATTCCACTTCATGTGAAATACCTTGAGTGCAGCTGTGGAGCTTAGTCATCTGAGAATCTGAAGATAGAGCGCCCATACAGGACTCATGCCGCTATTTGCATGAAACAAAACAGGGGGCAGTTTACCTACATGAGTCCTGTATTTAACCTGGTGCAAAGGTGGCCTCACAATGCTTCAGACACAAAGCATCTGATGTGCTGCTTTCTTAGAGGAGTATTTAATCACACTATTTTACAAATCAATTTTGGTTTTCATTCCCGTTGTTTGAAAAAAAATACATTCAGGTTTATGGGTCTTTGTACCGTTGTTTAATTAAAACTAATCGTAGTGACACTGTTATTAAGCAGGTGCAATTAATAATCCATGCCCATCATGCAGACAAATACAAAGTCACATTCAGGCCTTGGCACCCAGTTATAGTATGACTCCCAGCTTTAGTGTAGTGTCCAGATTTTCACATTGTGACTCAGCAGTGCTGTGTGCTGGGAGACTAAAGTGAGTTGGGAGTTTTTCAGGCTCCAGTTGAGATGCCAGGATTTCACATAGCTTGGTGAAATCCTCCTTCTTTTCATTAAAAGGAGGAGGAACAACCAGGAGCGACAAAACAAAACAGGCAGCAGTTTACAGAGTCTATGTTTTTCTATTCTAGAATAATCGCAGAATAACTCATAAAAACCTTCAGGGTTTAGAACCCAGACATGACTACAAAGGGCGTAGCAACCTTATCTTTTCCTTCACAGTAAAGTCAGGTTTATCAAATTTACTGTGATTCAGCAACGTTCAAAAGAGGTCAAAAGGTGTTCTTTAACCTGGAGCAAAGGTGGCCTGACAATGCTTCAGACACAAAGGATCTGCAACAACTGATGTGCTGCTTTTATTTAATCACACTATTTTACAAATCAGTTTTGGTTTTGCACATTTCATTCCCGTTGTATTTCAGAGTCCTTGTCGTCTTTATTCTACGTTATTTTCAAGAATTCTCACTGCTTCTCAGCAGGTTGTGTTCCCACCTTGTTTCCAAAGTTGCCCAAGCTGCAGTTGCACTCTGTGGCTCCGTAAAACTCTGCAATTTGTGGGACATTGTAGCGCTTCATGAATTCCTCCCATATGGACTGGCGCAGGCCGTTCCCCAGCGCCATGCGCACCCGATGCTGACGTTCAGAGTCTCGAACTGGTTGGTTTAGTAGATATCGACAAATCTCTCCGATGTACTGCACAATCTACACGTTGAATATGGAAATGGAAACAGAAACAATTCCAATGATTGATAGCAATTCAATTAGGTTCACAAAAGGCTGTTCAAATATTTTGAGGAATATTTTCAAAAAATAACAGTGACTCATGGTAGGGAGTTGTAAATGAAACTAGACTTACAGTGCAGTTATATTTGACACAGTCATCCCAGAAACGGGATGCAGAGAACTTCTTTCTGATGACCACCGTCATTCCATGTATTAGGCACTGTCCCACTCCCACAATGTTCCCTGAGTAAGAAGAATATAAAGAATCACACCATCTGACTTTTTGTACGAGGTCATCAAAAAATGGAAAAGCTGTAATTGTACATGCAGCTTAAATTAACATTAAAATTAGTTTAATTCTGTTTTCCTTCTTGGACATTTGAAACAAACATTGTGTTGAAAACAACATGATGCCAAGGCTCTTCAGAGGAAGTGCTGTAGGTGGGTCAAACTAATTTGGCTTTGTTTGTACAAGAACTTAAACCAACATGGGTGTGACGTTTCTACAACCGTAACCCAACCCACAGCCAACGACTGCAGCTCTCCCTCATTTAATTTGATTTGCATGTGAGGCGGAGTGAAAATCTACTTGTAAATCCTTCTTCCCATTAGCCTCAACATGAGAGACTGGCTCGACACATGTTTTTGTTTTCACCGTTTGTTTAAATTGTTCTTGTACAGTAGGAAATTGAGCCAAAAGGGAAGTAAAAGAAGTAAACTTAGTCACACACAGATGAAGTGCAAAGCCAAATTGGTTTTAAACAAATGTACCTGCAGAGTGATAGAGCGGGAGACAGTCATAGAGGACATCGTCTGGTGTCATCCTAAAGCCGTAATATACCAAAGCAGCCATACGGTAGTATCTGAAAACAAGAATGGCGTTAGATATCAGTCACATCAGTGCAAATTTGAAAATGCAGCAAACTTTAATTTATCTGTTTCCTTTTGTGCTAAGATTATTTGAACTGTACACAACATGGATCTAAAAAGAACAGCTGCATTGTTGGCTCAATGCCTGCTTCCTACCTGCTGTGCACAACAATGGCAGCTTTAGGCATTCCTGTGGTTCCTGATGTGTAGATGTAAAACAGCCGATCTAAAACAGAAAATACAGAAGATAATATCAGGTTGATATTGTGCAAATGTGATAAATGTCTAATAATTTTTCATTAGATCAATTTGAACTTCTGAATATGTATGCATGTATGGTGTTACACCTTAGTGTTGAACCTTTTCTAAAAGGAGTCACTTACTCAGTCTTGATCAGAGCAGAGTTTCATGGTGAGCCCTATAAACCTGAAATCTTTAACTTACAAGAATTGAAATAAAAACAAACAAAAACAAAGCAGAATAATTTCAAAAAGACTTTTATAGATCTGAAACAAAGTCAGAGAGAAGAATTGTTGTGGCTCCGTGTGAGTAAAGGTCAGGTGGAAACGTTGCATCCTCTCTTGAATTGTTTGGTAGACAGAAATACTTTGTGTCAGGTACTTTATGTGAGAACCAGAATAAGCACCTAGAGAGCAGCTTCTATTTAAATGTCATGTTGATGCTTTGCAATAGTATCTGTACTATTTATGTATAAATGCATTGATACATTTATACATAAATGAACTATTTATTTATTCACTGGCTTTTGAAAGCAATTAGATTCACTACATTCAATATTTTTTGTTTCAGAATGCCAGAGGGATGGAAACAAAAGTACACCAAAGTTTTTTTATATTTTTTTACTTTCTCACTCTGTTCTAGTCATACTGGACCAAAATGTTACTTTTTGATGAACGCTACATGTACCAGAAATCTAACACTGCATTTCTCTCTGAGGGTGATACTATGTGTGCATGCATTTTGTGATATTTCCACGTCCCACTCTGGACAGCCACAGGTTGGCTAACCTCAGGCTCCAAAAGTATGTTTGCTGAAATAGTCATTTACATCCAACGGCTCCAACTACTTGCAGGTTCACTGTATTGTCTACCTCTCATTTGCATACAAGCAACAGTGTTGCAATGTTTTCCAAAATTAAAAGTTTGTCTGATAGACTTGTACCTTATCATGCTGAAATGTTTGGAAACAGAAACATAAGATACATCTGAACAAAGTGAATTGTCGAAACAACTCCCAATAATGTTGCAAAAGGCAGTTTGTATAAATTTTGTCGTAGGTGAAGTCAAATCCGCCTGATATTGCGTGTTCACCTGTGAAGCAGCGATCTGGCCTTGGAGGCAGGCGAGACGAGGAGCCATCCAGCAGGGGTTCCAGGCACTCTGTTCCCTGCGGTACTCGTTTGGGGTCCCAGTCTCCAGAGCAAAACATCAGAACCGCCTTCCTCATCAAACTGTGGACCTCTGACACCGCTGCAAAAGAAAGAGAGAGACAAAAATGCCTTGAAGTATTGTGGGATAATTATCATAATTGAATCAGTGATGCAGGGAGAACACATGATATGAGGTCAAAGAAGGTCAAAAAATAAGCCCAGAGCAACTCAACCCAAAAAAACAGGAGAAAGTACTGCGTGACAATGAGTGTGAAACTGAAACGTTTCAATGGTTTTTTAATACTGTATAAACAGACACAGTGTGTTGTGTAAGTGAAGCTTTATGTCCTTGTGGCTCAGTGCTGATGCTGTAAGCATGATGCTTGGCTGCACCATAAAAAGGCTGCAGTTCCAATTACTTAAAGGCATCAAGCACATTACAGAACCAATACTGGGAGAGCTTCATCAATCTCTGAATGTACACTTCCACTCTCACTATAGATGTTGAGGTCAAGGTTTTTTCCCCTGATGGAGCAAAGATCCAGGAGTAAAACAGATCCCAAATGAATGTTACATTGCATGTTCATGTAATATGCAAAAGGCCAGTCTATTAAGACATTGTTGATTAGTAGATAGCAGCTAATTAATGCAATTTTAATTCCACGCACATGACCTTTTAATAACTCATCTAACGAGTGAGTCAGGCAGTGCTTCTGCTGAATGACTTTTGCTGTTTTGAACTGGTCGAAAAAGTCACATTGAAATACATAATGTGCTGCATGTGTGCACATATGCATGTGCACACAAACAACTGATTTTGAAAAAAAGATGAGTCATCAAAAATGGAATGTTGAATAAGTCTAACCTTTAGTAAAAATCTGTAAGAGTTGAACATTGTTCTACACATTTCTGTCACCATCATCAGTTGCTGATTATCACTTATCAGGTGGTATTCTTGTCAGACCTTGAATGCCACACATTGGCTATAAAGACAGCTCCACTGACTGATACTGAGGAGACACCTACTCAAATAACCATGTATCTTTTATGACCTCAGCTGCTTTTTCCCTGCACTCACCTCTCTCGTTACAAAGGAAGAAGAACAGCACCCATCAGCATAAGTCAGTTCTGTGCAAGCAGGAGGCTAAAGGTGGGTCTAAACATGAGCTCTTCCCTTTATCTTACCATCAGAAAGCTCTGAACCAAACACCACGGCCTTGGCATTGGAGATGGTAACACAGTGGACCAGAGCATCTAGTCTCAAGTTGAAGTTGATGAGAGCAGCTTCAACTCCGATTTTAGCCATTCCCAGCCAGAGGCCCACATACTGGGATCTGTTCTCCATAAAAAGGGCCACCACATCGCCTTCCTTAAAGTGGGAATGACAAAAAACACACGTGCTGTCAACCTACGGTATACGCACCACTTTCGTTTTTCACATTTTATCACGTTACAACCATTAATTTCAATGTAAATATGTACTAAAAACAAAAAAAAATACCCCACAAAGTAGCACACCTAAGACAGAAAGAAATTCTACATGGCTTTCAAAATTTTCCTACAAGTAAGAATCTGAAAAGTCCAGCCTTTCCCTGCTGAAGAATAGCAGCCCCACAGCATGATACGGCCACCACCAGTTCAGAGAAGTGTGGCATGCGCTTGTTGTCATTCCTTCCACTTTGATGCTTCCAATTAAATTCCAGTGAAACAAAAGTTGCCTTGTGAGGAAATGGAGTCAGCTTATAATTAAAAATTTAATTGTGATATTAATTGCGATGAAACAGTTTTTTTTTTCCATCACTTGTCTCTCTTTCAGAACTATTGCCCAGTTCAGAATAAAAATGTACAAACAATTGGGAAATTATACTGTTGGAAAGCTAATTTTAAATGCAGGGCACCTAAAACAGAAGAGCTAACTAAATAAATAGTGCATCCAGGCAGACCTTTGTGATCGTTAAAATGCTCTGGACAGAACTTTCCGACCTAACATGTCACCCTAAAATGATGTTGCCAGTATGGTGCTGTGGGGATGCTTTTCTTTTGAAGCACGGCCAATTCTTCTCAACTTTTTTGTGACAAAAATTATAAACAGCATGCCTCGTTTTCCTTCTGCCTCATGAATACGTTAGACTTTGTGTTGACAGTCAGAATAACAGAAATACACACTGTGCATTGAGGTTTGTGGTTATAATGTGACACAAAAAATTATCCATTTTTAAAAATGAAAGATGAGAAGACAAGTTTTACAAATTATTCCAAATTCAATCTTTTTTTTTTTTTTTTTTTTTTACCTTAAAGCCACGATCCAGCAGCAGGTTAGCCACTCGGTTGGAGTATTCATCCAACTGTCGGAAAGTCCACCTCTCTCCGGTCCCCTCAAAGATGAGAGCAGTTTTGTCGCCATAGCGCTGCACAGTTTCCGCAAAGATCTTCGGAAGAGTGTTCTTCTCTCTGACATGTCGGTTGACGTTCAGCTTCACGCGCAGTAGGACGTAGGCAGCACTTCAGGAGAAAAATACAACACACCTTAGAGTTACAGGTTTAGAACTGATTTCGTTATACTACAAAGATAAAAGTCCTTCTTCTGCAAAAGAATCCTAATATACACATAATATTTAACTGGAAATTACATCATCAAAATTGATCTTTTTAAGGACAACTTTTTAATAATGGCTGGCAGTTTTATGAAACATGCCTTATTTGCTGGGGAGCGTTACAAAACATGCATTTATATTAGGTGTACTTAGAAGGTACAAATATACCTTTTAGTTATTGTTCATATATAATTGGATCCATTGTTGACACACATGCAATTCATAGCAGGAGAAATAAAATATTGTAATAAACATATCCAGGGGGCAAAGTCTGACTAAATAGAAACGCTCAGTACTCTGTATTTATTACACAGAGGTACAAGCAGAAGCCATGGCTGAGTGAGGTAAATAATTACCGAAACCTCATAAAAACCAACAAGCCAAGCAATTTCATGGTTGTACTGTGATCTTGTTGGAAATGCTTATCATTGCATAAAGGATTAGTTTTATGCTTGTCGAGATAAATGCAGTTTGCTGTAGTTCAGACACCTAATTTTCACTCACATCACTGTTGGGATTCTCTCTATTGCAAAAGAAGAAAACTAATAGTAGTAATAAGCTGTTTAGTGTAGCCTTTTTATGCTAATTTTTTACTACTAATGCAAGGTTTAGGGGAACACATAATGACACCACATACATCTTAGTCATACACTGTAGTATACCACTATTTGTCACAAGTGCACATGTGAACAAAATGCCAATGGCTTGTCAATCTACATCACACAATACCATCTAATGAGTAACAGAGGAAATGTTAGCCACAACAAAGGTGAAACTGTTGAATTATTAACCTTGGTTCATATTAATATTCAAGGTAATACTGTGAGTAAAACTAAAAAGCTTACTAGTTTTATCAAAAGTAGATGCAGGTATGTGTACATGAAGAAGAGGATATGTACCTCTAACTCACAAAGATGGAGTCCTTATTTTACACATACTAATCAGAAATATGCACCATTACTAGTGGGACCACTGTGGTGTGTTTGTTCAGAGGTTTTTGTTTACAGTTTCCCATTTTACCAGTGATGGGGGAAAAAGAAGTTAACCGCAGCATATTACCATAGTAACCTTTAACTGTAAATATTAGCTCAAGGTTCACACATTCAATAATCACTGTCTAGCTGCATTCTTGGCATTTTTTCCACAGAAATATACGTCAAAATAGCACCTTGGAAACGGTCATTTCTGCAAATGAAATCTGACCTGAAAATATGTTTTAAATAAGAAAATGGGGCTTCAGTCACTTGAAAACACAACTTTTGATTTTATGTAGAAGACCAAAACCATGTGGTAGCATCACGCTGTGAACAGTCCATTTTTTAAGCAGGAACAAGTAAAGCAGTCATGTGAAGAGGTTTGGAAGTGCAGGTTTGGAAGTGCATGCAGAGTAATAGTTTAGGTCAAAGTTCATTTGTGGCTGAGAATCAATCGCAAGATGTGCAAACTGATGTTTGCAAGTGATTTTCATCCAATCTGGCAGAAGTTGAGATATTTTTGCAAAGAAGAATGTACATCAAATCACTTCCAGCTGTAAGTGCCCCCCAAAAGGTGGCACTACAAAGTATTTAGGTAGGGGGGTTGAGGGAAATCTGAAATTGCCAGGTGACAATTTATAAGAAAACAAAATAAAATAAAGGACTGTGAATACTCTTGGAAGGCCCTGTGAAGGACTCCATAATCAAAATGACATTTATGTCCTGACAGAGAGATGAGAAGTTTATGTTACCTGAATAAGTAATGATATCTTGATATCTATAAATCTTTACTTGTCATTTTATGTCAGAGAATTTTTCTCTGGTTTAAACAAGCAAGCCCTAAAAATAATTATTGTTTTATTATTTTGACATGTTTTAAAGCTGCAGTGAATAATTATTATCAGGGGCTGTTAAAGGTCGGTAGCAGAAATTCCAATTCTGTGTTGTAAAATATCAAAACGCGGTATGATAGAATGCATTTGACATATGAACATATGTTTTATGCTTACTGTAGATCTCTGCCAATTGTTTTGAGAAAAATATCCAGAAAGCTCCATCCTCCACTTCCAAGGTAGAAGATCAGGATGGCTGGAAGAACCTGGTACCAAGGCAGGCCCACCAGCAGCCTCAACACAAACAGCATGACTGTGCAACATGCCAGACGCATCATCCTGAAGGGAAACACACACACACACACACACACACACACACATATATAACTACAAATCAGAATCTTTCAAGGCCTTGCATTAGGCCACTTACACAAATACTGGTAGTAGAGTATGTACACAGGAAGGGTTTTTTGAGTTTGTGCTGCCATAGAGCCAAAGAATGTTATCGACTGCGATTCTGTTTACACATCCTGTGCCAAGTTTGAACTACTAACTTAGGCTTGGTGTCCACACACTCCTTTACAAAAGGATTTGTATCTCGAATTTTTTCACATTTCTCACAAACATCTAGATATATATACAGAGCAACACATTACTGCTAAATAGAAGAAAAACCATGCATGACCTAAACATTTTGCTCAAAAAATAAATAAAGAAAAAAATCCTGAAAAGTGTGGCATGCAATACTGTTATTATTGGATTTGTACTCTGGATCAGTACTTTTAGAACCATCTCCCAAGTAGGTTTCTAAAACGGTTAACACAACTGGATGGCAAAAGTCTTCAGTCTGGTGCTTTGAGTTCAATTAGCCCTTTCTTGAAGAACTATTTTGTTCAGAAATGTTATAATTAATTTTATTTGTTGTTTCTGTTTTGTTTAATTTGAATATTTAAAATCTCTTCTAGTTCCAGTGTTAAATGTTCATTAGAATTTAAAGTTTATTGATATCTGAGAGTGTGCTCTTGCATTATTATGCTATTAACATTATATTATTTGAAAATGATCTCAAAATGACAAAATTATCATTTAACACAATAACTTCTGGGATAATCTATTGTCCAGCAAAATGTGTTATTTTGCATTGTAACGTCCAAACATTACAATGCTGCCACTGCCATGTTTCAGCATGGTGCATTTGGATGATGTGAAACATTAGTTTTCTGATACATAAAAAGGTTTAATTTTGCTCTCATCTGACCAGAGAACCTTATTTCACATGTTTACTTGTACTTGTCAAAGACATGTACACAAGTCCTTGATTTTTCACAAACTGCACACAGAGTTTTTCTTTAAATATGTTTTTGTTTTATCGTTTGTTCTTCCATAGAGCCCAGATTCTTGAAATGCATGACTGCAAGCTGACTTTTTGAGCTGTCAGTCACTGAACTCTTTGCTGCTCCCATTAATGATCCCATTGCCTGGTCAGTTTGTTCAGGTCCTGGCCATGGCTTGGTCTCATACACTTTCTATTTACAAACAATGGACTAACAGTTACTAAGTTTGTTCACCAATTGTCCTTAAGAAACATCTAAGAGCTTCAGCGCCATATTAATAATGAGCTTAATAATGAGTAACAGATTAAGCTTAAACTCATTATTCACTGATTAGAAGACTTCTGTAGGTAAATAATTGCTTGTGATTTCTTCTAGCCATATCAGAGAAAAATTGGACATTTGTCCTAAATTTAGCTACATCCATCTTCCCTTAGACTTTATTATGCCACCACCATCAACAACATTCACAGTGGTGATGGTGAGTTCAGTATTATGTGTAGTGTTGGTTTATCCACGACATTTTACATAATAAATTCTATCAAGACATCATAATGAATGGTTCATAAAATTTGCCTATATGTAGTGATAAAATAAACTGTTAAACGAAATATACAACTTCCTGAAACAGTCATTTACTTTTCTCTTGCAGCTGAGAAACATTTAAGACTTTGAGGAAACCCTACTTAAACACAAAGCATCTGAAGTCACTGATATTAGTGGCTACGGCTACTTGCTGGCAAGGAAAGAAGATCTCAGTCTGTAAATAATATGGTTACATCCCTGCTTATAAGAAATTTACCAGCCCTACTCTCGCCTCTTAACCGCGCTAAAAAAAAGACCGTACATTTAGCTTTCTTGCTTTAAAATCTTGATTGTGTTCTTTTCCTCTGCTTCCAACATGTGGCTGCGATTGTGATTTTCATCGCTAAGCCGAAATATAAAATCTAAACAAGCTCCGTGTCGTAGCCTAATTTCACTTCGCTATTAAGAACGGACGGGATTTGAGAGTGATTCAAAATCACAAATGAGAGAAAGGCAGCAGCAGCAGCAGCCACATGACGGACAGAGACAAAAGCTTCATCATCCGCCGAGGCTGAACCCGGAAATTTGAAGGCGCGGAGCATCATATTGCGGTGGGGGCTCTGGTTCGGAGAGGAAGGCTCAGCCCACTGCTGGTAACCCCTCTAACCAGATGCCATGTGCGCTTCAGATACGGCCTTCCTTTCTGAGCCGCTCGGTTTGTGTTTGTTGTATTGAGACATGATGAGGCTCATCGTGCTGATGGGCTTTTCGACACTGGCAGGATGCGCTGCGTAACGTGTGCGCCTCGGCGTAAGGAAGCGGATGGACAGCACGACAGCAGCAGCTGTATCTTTCATGATGAACAGGCATGCCGTCTCCATATGCATAATTTACCTTTTAAGGCTCTAAAGCTGCCAGAAATTACAGATCATATAAGTGGGTTAATCGCTCAAAATGCCGATAAAGTGTCAGGGCTATCTTCCTTTCTCCCAGGGAATAAAAACCTGATCACCAATCCGCGTAGTTGGCGCACACCAAGCCCTTAGTTGTGGTACAAGGATGAGGATTTTTTTTTTTAACGTACCTTGCCCCCCTTCCTCTCACTGCTACAACATGTAGGTGCTCAGCGATCCGAATGTGAAACTCGTAGGAGATTCCACCTTGATCGGCTTACAGGCCAGCCTGGTCGGTCCCTCCGGCGAGATAGAGATTCAGAGAAACGCACCCAGGCAGACGCTCGCACTGGGCTCTCCTCCTGTGGTCAGCCCCGCAACGACCTCCCGCTGCTGCGGCTGAGAAAATGTCCGAGCGAAGCGCGTCGACTTTGACCCCACGATCATCATCAGGATCGCAGCAAATTATATTATTCTTCGATTCATTGTCAACGGTTAGTTCACAAGCAGGCGTAATTCAAATGACCTTATAATTTTCTAAGCGGAGCCCGCCCACCTCAGTCAGCGTCAAATCAGTGAATCAGGAATAAGCGCTGACAGACGGCTTGAGCGGACCAACAGAGAGAGAGAGAAGGTATTACGTCTCGTCCGGGAGAGGTGGGGTTTGCCGCGGTGTGGGAGAGGAAATGCGGCTCTGCTTGTTGGCCCGGCAGAACAGGGTCCGCTCCTTTTTGGCTCGCCGGCGACAGGGAGGAGCTCATCACTACCGTTTATAGCAAAACAGAGGCGGGTGACACTATAAAACCTGCTTTTACACATTCAAATTGCAACAGACTAAAGCTTCCATGTTTTTAGGCCTTCTTTACATGTAAATAAATATTTGAAAATAATAATGTTTGAAGGCCTATTTGTCCTTTCTAAAATATTATCATTATTGTTTCTAGAAATTTCTTTATCCATACAAAAAAAAAAAGAAAAAAAAAGAACCCTGATCCATAATGTTCTAGTAAGTGTGCCAATTCTGTAAGTGATAATGCAGTCACTGATTTTTTCTCTATTGATAATGAATTGTCAATTTGTCTTAACCCTTTTCTTTATCCTGGACAAAGCCACTAAAAGAGCTGGTTGCTACTACTAACAATATATACTGTGTTTACTTTTTCTTTAATGTAAAACGTACTCTTGGAGTTTCTATTCTTTCAAAACTCATAAGTCAAAAGTCATGTTAAATCCATAGGGATTATTCATAATAAAGAATAATGTTAAGTCAGCCTTTATTATGCAAGTAAGGTCAAAGTAGGTGTACTGGTTGTTAAGCCATTGGAGACCATCTGGAATACGCCCATACGCTCACTTCTCATGGTGTACGTCGTCTGTCCACCCTGTGCATCCGCTGTATTCTCTGGCTTTCAAATGGTGAGGACCCAAACAGGCCAGCCCACGCAGCCATCTCCACCCGGTAATGACAAGTCCGTTATAGTGTAAAATGAGTCCTGCCTAACCATGCTCTGCTCCACTCAGTTACTACTGCAATGTCAACAAAAGAGGCCAACAGATTAGCAAGGAATGAGTCAGTGCAGGATGTTGATATGTTCTAATTAGAAGAACCAGTTTCTCACCCTTTTAAGACCTTTAACCTGAAAATTTTCAAGCGGGCAAAATGCTGATCTGATTGCAATCTCAGACGGTTATTGGAAAAGTACAGTTATTTTTGAAGCTTATCTCTACTGTTGTACTTTTATTATAAAATGTACTCTTTAAATTAAACACATCTGGGTAATAAAGTATCAATATTTACTGCAGAACTGCACGAAATAAAAGGTTGATAAAAAAGAGCTTTGATGAAAAATGCAACTAATTCTACTTATTGTGCATTTGGGTCAATTACGTCACAATAGACAAGATCCAAACTCATTTGTCAACAGAATGAGCAAGAGATATGAACAATTTTAACATGAGTTTTAAAGTGACGGGCAAAAAGAGTTTAACTCTGATGACCGCCAAGCTATGCTTGTTACTGCAATGATGATCAAGCTAAACTGTGACAATGATCTTCTTCAGCTTCTTAAATAGTACAGATTTGTGTAATTTGCTACTAGATTTTTTTGTGTTTACCACTTGCCCAACGAGTAATCAGTGAATTCTGCTTGTGCCATGTTAAATAAATACAAGAAGTTTACTCCCATTCAGATTGAAGTCTTACCATTTGGTCTTATCCCAACTACTCTCTTTCAGACTGCCTAGCAATTGGATGTTTTTCTTCCTTCTGGTTTAACTGGAATAGGCTGTTCTGCAGCCGCATAAACGATGGAGCAAACCGGTATAGGTTAGGGTTCATGATAGCTATAGAAATTATTTTCAGAGAAAGTAGCATGTGAAGTTGCTCAGAAAACATTGTTGGAATTTGAAAAACATCCTAAATAAACACACTGAGGGTACCGGGTGGTTTTGTTTGCGTATTTGGCCACTTACAAATTTCCTTTGTTTTTGCTTTTATAATACCTTTAAATGTTTAATGTTATTAAATACATTTTAGGGCTGAAAATCTAACTGGATTAATTGTTTCATGACTAATTGGGTTTTGAAATAATTGTCAGCTAATCAAATTAACTGGAGAGACTCCAAACTATGCTATTTTCTGGAGAAAAAAAAAAAACATTTGGAGAGCAGTAATTAAGCTAAACTGTACAAAACTAAAAACATTTTCCACTTAAAATAAAATAAATCAGAATAGATGTCATGTCAATCTTTTCACCTGTCAATGCCAGAAGTATGTTTTTTTTTAGCTGCAGATGAACAGATTGATAAAAATTATCAAGAGTACACTAAATAAATACCAAATGCATTTTGGAAATACAATTCTTGTTTTCTTATTTTAAAAAAAAATATTGATTTAGTTGGATTTATTAATGGATTTCCAACATTGTATAAAACAGGCTTACGTGATTAAACTAAAAATCTGCAGAATGTGCCACTTTTTTTTGTCCAATCAGTCATAAAAAATAACTGACGGTTTAGTTAATAGCACCACTAATACATTTTAGCATCAAAAAGTAACACATATGGAGTAGCTATCAAGTGACAATTGTATTAAAGAGAAACATTCATGTAACACTATTTTAAATTATGAATTAACTGTGATTAGTCGCATGTAGTCCAAAGGGTTGTTTCATGTAAGTAGGAACCGATTAAACCGAGATTTTGCAGATTCCTCGATTCGATTTTACAAAACCATTAGCGCAAGTTACCATGGCGATTGATTCTGCGCAGCTGGTCTGCTGCAGACCAGGGTTAGTTAATCCTTATTTGTTCTGTCAGCGGTCACCCCGATCAGAAACCAACCAGTTTTGACCGTGATTCCGTTTCCTTATCTGTGCGTTAAGGTTTTTCTATCAACCTGCAATAAAACATCACTTAGTTTGGTCGAGTTAACATCATTATCTGATAAGAAATAAGAAAATTGCTTTAGTTTTGGCATATATTAAACAAATAGCCAGTTGAAATTACGCAATATTTTAAACACGAACATAAACATACCTTTTGTTTTCATCAAAGGAGTTGCAAAGAAGAAACATTTTAAAACTCCGTTACAATTTATCTTCCGTGTTTTGGTTTCCGTTAAGCTGCGCGTCCGCTAACAGCTAAAGAATAAATTGCCCCTTCAAAACAAAAGCATCACAGGAAGTTAGTCATAGAAAAGGGTAATTAAAGGCGAGTAGCTGGGGACCTTCTATTAGAACAAGTTATGAGCACATCGAGTCAACATTTAATCCACATATTTCCCAAATACTGCAAAGTGTTCTTCTATTTAATCCCGGCCTGTTGTATTGTTTATATAGATATGCAGACAAAAAAAGAGAGAGGCATGAACGAATCTACTGTCAAATTAACGTTTCAATATTGACTGTTCTCTTATAAGTTTAAAGTTGTTTATTTGAGCAAATGACACATCCGGGCTGGAAATGTAGGATTTTGCGGGTAATTAAGCAATAAATCAATCAATCTATTATCTCACAGCAGTTTTCTTTGCATGACATGGTTCAAGTCCTCATAATACCCCATCAAACCATGTTTTTTTTTAATGTGATGTATGGCGTATGCAATTTAACCGACGTAGCATCAGTGAAACTGATGATTATGGTCAGGTGAAGAAATTTGTGGACGCACATTCACCTGAATGCCTGTCTTGCTAAAGTCGCACTTCCTGAGCCTGGTTTGAAACTAGAGCTAGAGCTGATGGTGCTATGCCAAACCTGGCTTTATCTTAAGTCCTAGACTCATAATCCTACTGATGAAGTAGGTGGAAAAAAAAACGTCTCAAAAGACATTACGTCAAGACTTAAATGATTTAGAGGATTGTAAAAAAAAGATTATCTAAAGTATATCAGCCCCCACTTGTGTCAGTCAACAGTGGTGTTGATGATTCAACAAGAAAAAAACTTTGCACAAATAGAGTAGCGTACAGCCAAAACTATCATCTGAAAAGAATAGAGGCCCACTTCATAGGATCTTATACGTATCCTCATGATCACCAAGACCTTTAGAAAGTACTCTGGAGATCAAAATGTGGAATCTGAATGTCCAACTAGCAGCATTTCAGAAAAGAACATCATTTTGCCTGTTTGACTTGCAGGTAAAATGGTGGTGGTGGTGTGATGGTCGGGGTCTACTTCAAGCTTCAGCTCGAGTTATTTATTTGTTTTTTTAATAAACGTCTGGCCAAAGCAGACCTACAAAAATCAAAACATGGGACTTATAGCTTTGCTGCAGAGCAAAGCAACATAGTGGATCATTTTAACCATTTGTTTCATTGCTCTCTGCAACTTCCCAACATTGGCAAGTGCTTAATACAAGAAGATTCAGTTTTTACCTAACATGAAAGGAATGTGACATGTCTCCAAACACGTTGCCTAATTTAGCAAGATTGCAGAAGATCTGTTGCAACAAAACTCTGGATCTGTACTCCCACACTTTACTCTCTTTAACCATAAGGGAAAAAAAGGGCAGTACTGTACACCATCTTTACTTTTACGTTACCCATTTCAAATGGCTGGTTGTACTTGGCAACAAATCTAACCATTAAACCATAAAAGTGAGCAGATCACCCTGCATTTATCCCCGTCATTCAGCAGAGGAACAAACAGTATTACTCTGCAAAGAAATGACACAGTGGTGCAATCATAAGAATATGAAAACAAATAATATAAGTTTCACCTTCCAAATGTTAGGAATTTTTTATTACACAATTGAGGGATAAAATGCTGCCTGACATAAAAGACATAATAAAAGAGAAGATTAAGTTTGTGGAACTCCTCTGCTGATACCGTTAGACAAGTTATCAATGGACAGATGAAACCACTCCCATAAGATTAAGCCTTTTCATTCAGCACTTTTAAAATAGACTTATTTTACTAGATTACAACATGGGTGTTTTAACATGTTGCAATCTAACAGGGTTGAAACTTTTGGTTATTTGGAGTCACAAAAAATAAATAAATACTGAAGCACCTAAAATAAATCTATTCAATCTTCATCTGAAGTGAGAATGCATAATAA